TAGTGAGTGAGTGAGTGTGCACTGAGTGTGGTAGTGAGTGTGGTGGTGAGTGAGTGAGTGTACACTGAGTGTGGTGGTGAGTGAGTGAGTGAGTGTGGTAGTGAGTGAGTGGTGAGTGAGTGAGTGTGCACTGAGTGTGGTAGTGAGTGTGGTAGTGAGTGAGTGGTGAGTGTATTGGTGAGTGTGGTGTGAGGGTGGTGTGAGGGTGGTGTGAGTGTGGTGTGAGTGTGGTGGTGAGTGTGGTGGTGAGTGTATTGGTGAGTGTGGTGTGAGGGTGGTGTGAGTGTGGTGGTGAGTGGTGAGTGTGGTGGTGAGTGTGGTGGTGAGTGTGGTAGTGAGTGTGGTGGTGGTGAGTGAGTGAGTGTACACTGTGTATGGTAGTGAGTGAGTGTACACTGTGTATGGTAGTGAGTGAGTGAGTGTAAACTGTGTATGGTAGTGTGGTAGTGAGTGTGGTAGTGAGTGAGTGAGTGTGCACTGAGTGTGGTAGTGAGTGGTGAGTGTGGTAGTGAGTGTGGTAGTGAGTGAGTGAGTGTGCACTGAGTGTGTGTTCATGATGAACTTCTTTCTCACTCTACGTAGCCAACCTCTGCTCCCCGTCCCCTCTCTCCCCACTCTCCTCCCAGCTGACTCACCATGCGGCCACTCAGCCCGTGACCAATCTCCCTCCCCGGGGGACTCACTGCCTGGCGATGTTCCACCAGGCGCCTGTCAATCACCCCTCACAGCTGATTTACCCACAGCTGGGTCAACCTCCCCAACTGACTCACCCCTCACAGCTGATTTACCCACAGCTGGGTCAACCTCCCCAACTAACTCACCCCTCACAGCTGACTCACCCACAGCTGGGTCAACCTCCCCAACTGACTCACCCCTCACAGCTGACTCACCCACAGCTGGGTCAACCTCCCCAACTGACTCACCCCTCACAGCTGACTCACCCACAGCTGGGTCAACCTCCCCAACTAACTCACCCCTCACAGCTGACTCACCCACAGCTGGGTCAACCTCCCCAACTGACTCACCCCTCACAGCTGACTCACCCACAGCTGGGTCAACCTCCCCAACTGACTCACCCCTCACAGCTGACTCACCCACAGCTGGGCCAACCTCCCAACTGACTCACCCCTCACAGCTGACTCACCCACAGCTGGGTCAACCTCCCCAACTGACTCACCCCTCACAGCTGACTCACCCACAGCTGGGTCAACCTCCCCAACTGACTCACCCCTCACAGCTGACTCACCCACAGCTGGGTCAACCTCCCCAACTGACTCACCCCTCACAGCTGACTCACCCACAGCTGGGTCAACCTCCCCAACTGACTCACCCCTCACAGCTGACTCACCCACAGCTGGGTCAACCTCCCCAACTGACTCACCCCTCACAGCTGACTCACCCACAGCTGGGTCAACCTCCCAAACTAACTCACCCCTCACAGCTGACTCACCCACAGCTGGGTCAACCTCCCCAACTGACTCACCCCTCACAGCTGACTCACCCACAGCTGGGTCAACCTCCCCAACTGACTCACCCCTCCCAGGTGATTTGCCCACAGCTGACTCAACCTCCCCAACTGACTCACCCCCCCCAGGTGATTTGCCCACAGCTGACTCAACCCCATTGGGTGGTGTGTGATTGTGGTTACTGCCATGCCCAATACGCAGCACTGACCACACACACAATATGAAGATGTATCATGTACAACTTGATTTGATGTTTAATATTTTGTGATGTGAAAAGAGTTTTTTCAAATATGAAGATGTAACATATACAACTTGGTTTGATGTTTAATATTTTGTGATGTAAAAAGAGTTTTTTAAATATGAAGATGTAACATATACAACTTGGTTTGATGTTTAATATTTTGTGATGTACAAAGAGTTTTTTTAAAATATGAAAACGTATCATATTCAACCTGGATTTCTGTCATTCCACACATTTATTCATCATTCCGCGTACCCCCAGTTGCGAACAGCTGGCCTAGAGAAGCGATTGGTGACAGACATCACCATCACATCGACATGAGGATGGCTTTATGAGACCCGCGGCTACATGGAATCCACAAATACGTTTGAAATACCAACGTGTTCTGTGCGCGATTGCGAACTGCAAGGCTGTGAGCCTGAACTCGATGATATTAACGCAAAAAAAAATCTCCCAGTTGGGTGACATCGTTGTAAATGTCCCTGAAGAAGAATGTTGCCGTGTGCTCGACGGCACGCTCCGTGCGGAACGCACAATCGACGGTTCGTCTACGACGTGAAGGGTTCGCAGTCAGATTCGTTCCCCCGTCCACGTTGACGACTTTGGCCCGTCTTCTTGGTTCTTTCGGTAAAGTCACGTAGAAGGGAAATAATAAAATAATAAACATAAAACATAATAAAATACAATTCTCACGACGTTTCGGCCACAAAGCAAGCAGCCGTCCTCAGGTGAAGACCAGGTCTGTGGGGGAGACAGCGTCATTCAGGTGAAGAACAGGTCTGTCGGGGAGACAGCGTCCTCAGGTGTCATTCAGACGCTGTATTTCCGACAGACCTGTTCTTCACCTGAGGACGGCTGCTTGCGTTGTGGCCGAAACGTCGTGAGAATTGTATTTTATTATGTTTTATTATTTTATTACTTCCCTTCTACGTGACTTTACCGAAAGAACCAAGAAGATGAATCCCTGCAGTCACGAAAGCTTTACATCGAAGTTTGATCCTCGTTCCACTCCGGCCTGTCGGCGGGTCACACATGTTCTCAATGTGTTGATGGTGAACCAAGACAAATTGACCGCAGTGCGGTTTTTCCAGCATAAGGCCGAGAGCTTCACATTTTGTTTCCGCGCAGTGCGCGCCATCGAGACTCCACGCAGAGCAGCCCCGAGCGATCCAGCTGGTCGCGACATCGCCCTTCATCAGCGTCAGCGGCGGACGCGTGATCAGAGTGGACAACTTTCGATGTAACGCTTCTTTCGTGACTGCAGTGATTCACCTTCTTGGTTCTTTCGGTAAAGTCATGTAGAAGGAAAGTAAAAATAAAACATAATAAAATAATAAAATATCATATTATTATATTATATTATTACGTGTTATTTGTATTATTTTATTACTTCCCTTCTACGTGACTTTACCGAAAGAACCAACAAGAGTGGACAACGTCGCGGCTCAATTCGGAGTCGGCAATAGCTGGAGGCACTTCTTTATTTAGTGAGCACCATCACAACAACGACAACAACAACGACAACAACACCTACGTGGGCGGACGCACTTGCATCGTCGTTTCCATCACGAGGAGCGTCTAATTGCCGGCGGCACTACTTGGTGAGGGCAGTCGCTGGCGCCGCCTGACTAGCGGCACCCCTAACCCTCTAACCCTAACCCTCTAACCCTAACCCTAACCCTCTAACCCTAACACCCTAACCCTCTAACCCTAACCCTCTAACCCTAACCCTCTAACCCTCTAACCCTAACCCTAACCCTAACCCTCTAACCCTAACCCTCTAACCCTAACACCCTAACCCTCTAACCCTAACCCTCTAACCCTAACCCTCTAACCCTAACACCCTAACCCTCTAACCCTAACCCTCTAACCCTAACCCTCTAACCCTAACCCTCTAACCCTAACCCTCTAACCCTAACACCCTAACCCTCTAACCCTAACCCTCTAACCCTAACCCTCTAACCCTAACCCTCTAACCCTAACACCCTAACCCTAACCCTCTAACCCTAACACCCTAACCCTCTAACCCTAACACCCTAACCCTCTAACCCTAACACCCTAACCCTAACCCTATAACCCTCTAACCCTAACCCTCTAACCCTAACCCTCTAACCCTAACCCTCTAACCCTAACCCTCTAACCCTAACACCCTAACCCTCTAACCCTAACACTCTAACCCTCTAACCCTAACCCTCTAACCCTAACCCTCTAACCCTCTAACCCTAACCCTCTAACCCTAACACCCTAACCCTAACCCTCTAACCCTCTAACCCTCTAACCCTAACACCCTAACCCTAACCCTAACACCCTAACCCTCTAACCCTAACACCCTAACCCTCTAACCCTAACCCTATAACCCTCTAACCCTAACCCTAACCCTCTAACCCTAACCCTATAACCCTCTAACCCTAACCCTCTAACCCTAACACCCTAACCCTCTAACCCTCTAACCCTAACCCTCTAACCCTAACCCTATAACCCTCTAACCCTAACACCCTAACCCTATAACCCTCTAACCCTAACCCTCTAACCCTATAACCCTCTAACCCTAACCCTCTAACCCTAACCCTATAACCCTCTAACCCTAACCCTCTAACCCTAACCCTATAACCCTAACCCTCTAACCCTAACCCTCTAACCCTAACCCTACAACCCTAACCCTATAACCCTCTAACCCTAACCCTCTAACCTTAACCCTCTAACCCTAACCCTCTAACCGTAACCCTCTAACCCTAACCCTCTAACCCTAACCCTCTAACCCTAACCCTCTAACCCTAACCCTCTAACCCTAACCCTCTAACCCTAACCCTCTAACCCTAACCCTCTAACCCTAACCCTCTAACCCTAACCCTCTAACCCTAACCCTCTAACCCTAACCCTATAACCCTCTAACCCTAACCCTCTAACCCTATAACCCTAACCCTCTAACCCTATAACCCTAACCCTCTAACACTCTAACCCTAACCCTCTAACCCAACCCTATAACCATAACCCTCTAACCCTAACCCTCTAACCCTAACCCTCTAACCCTAACCCTCTAACCCTCTAACCCTAACCCTCTAACCCTAACCCTCTAACCCTAACCCTCTAACCCTAACACCCTAACCCTAACCATCTAACCCTAACCCTCTAACCCTAACACCCTAACCCTCTAACCCTAACACCCTAACCCTAAAAACCTTACCTATCTCCGCCTGACTAGCGGCACCCCCCCGGGGTGGCGATGACGACTGGGCTCCCACCCAGGGCCCCCCCCCCCCCCCCGTTACTGGAACCTACTGGCGTGGTTCCCA